ATAGACGCATACGCTTCCACACTTCGCTCATTTTCATTTAATTTTTTTTCACCACAACAGCAAACGCTTACTCTACAGGAAAACCTCTGTTGGCCAAAAAATATGACGTTCACGCTTATGAAAGTGCGGCGAAAAAAATTAAAAATCGCGCGCTGCTCAACGTTGCCAAGCATGCATGCATATATGTATATGTATATGTAAATATGTGGGGGGGATGGAGGGTATGGGGTAAACATGTCCTTGGTAGCAAATTTTCGATTGTAAACGTTGGCTGGCGCCACTGTCTCCATATTGTCTGCGAAAACAGATCTGCCACAACCATCATCGACGACGGGCCTTTACAGTGGCGAAAGTTCAGTCACGGTGTGATATGTACGGTGCACACACGCCTGTGTTTATTGGTTGCTGACCTCGCTGTCATTTTATTGTAAATGACCTCAAACGGTAGTCGAGAGAGATTAACGATTAATAAGCTTAAGTTGGGCACTGTCGCCGTGCGGCCGGCGTGCGAGCTAGTGTTTAGTGGATTTTCGCTTGTGAATTGGATTAGTCCAATGGCGATGAATGGGCAACCCGAACGCGTATATAATTCTGTGCGGAGCGAACACTGAATCATCCACAACAGACTGACTGCACCGAGAACACTTTCGATTTGCTGCTCAAGTAATGCATTTCCAGTTTAAATATGGACGGTGGCGCAATTATCCAGTACAGCTTAATTTAGCTTACAATTTTCTAAAGAAATTTTAAAATGGATTTTATTCTGAAAATAGCGCTTGTCGCCCACACTTTTCTTTCATTGTATTTTTTCCTCTTTGAATTGAATGCGCACTAACCTCTTGCATACTTTATTTACATGCGCGTTTGCAGTAATTTTATGTATGTACAGTGGTGGCCTTATAATTAGAAACGACTTTGCTGCATATAATTTTGCTAATATATTTTAAAAATTTATTTCGCCACATCAAAACTATTAATTAGAAATAATAAAGTAACAAGTTATCTTTGAGTTTAACATAAGAAAATTCACAACATTAACACTATTTTTAAGAAAATTAACTAAACCCAAAAAACACCGATTTCAGTTTGGTCATATGATTAGAAACGGCAGCGACAACTTAAAAATATCTTCACAAAGTTAAACAAAATGGTCATAATTTTTAATATCTTGTGGGATAACCCTTATTTTTGATAACATTGTCCAATCTTCTCGGTAAACTTTGTATTAAATGTTGACATGTTTGGACAGATATGCTGTTCCAGCTCTGCTGCACCAATTGAAACAATTCATCATTATTTCGCGGTTTCTTGTCCTTGAGATCTCGTTTCACAATTGCCCATAAGTTTTCAATCGGATTGAGATCCGGACTTTGCGGGGGCCAGTCCAAAACATCAATATTTTGATCCGAAAGCCAGCTCTTCACTAACCTGGAAGTGTGTTTTGGGTCATTGTCATGTTGGAAAATGTAATGGACTGGCATATTCTCAAAGGAATATGGTTCCATTACATTCTCCAGAATATTTTTATATTGATGTTGGTCCATTATTCCTTGAATTCGCACAATTGGGCCCACACCACGCCAGGAAAAGGCTCCCCAAACCATAATAGATCCGCCACCGTGTTTTACCGTTTTCACAGTGTACCTGGGGTTTAAAGCCATGCTTGGAGGACGCCTCACATACGTTTTTCCATCGGATTGGAATAAATTAAACTTCGATTCGTCACTCCAGAGAACTCTATTCCAGTATCGTGGATGTTTATTAAGCATTTCCTTTGCGAACCGCAACCGCCTCTTAATATTTTTTTTTGATACATGCGGTTTTTTTTTGTGCAATGCACCCACGAAGTCCCGACTCTTGTAAGCGCCTTCTTATCGTCCGAGCGGAGATTTCCGCGTTAATTTGATGCCCAACTTCAGCCTTTATTTCACGCGAAGACATGAATGGGTTGTTCTTGCTGGTCCTACAAATAAGCCTATCTTCAGTTGGAGTAGTTTTTCGAGGCCGGGGCTTCCTGCTAGGGGTTTCAAACGTCTTGATTTTATTGTATAAATGAATTGCTCCAAATACCATCTTTTTGGAGCAAGCAAACCTTTGTGCGATAGCCGACATCGACAGTTTCTCTTTCTGATAACACTTCACAATTAACTCCCTCATTTTTGGAGTGCATGACTTTTTTTTGCCCATTCTAACAACTAAAATGTATCAAAATTATTGCAAGCTAACTATGGCTCCTTTCGAAGTATACTCACTTTATCGCTAACTCCAAGACAAGTCTAGAAAATAAAGAAAAAACTGCGCGTTTCTAATTGCGTGGCCAGCCAAGAAACACACACCGCGAAATAATTTTAATTTTTTTTTAATACCCAATCATCGAATCAGCACGTGTTTGTTTAACATCACTTACAGTGTCCGTCTTAAACAAACTTGTACAGTGATTTTGGTTTTTCCAGCACGTCGTTTCTAATTATAAGGCCACCACTGTACATACAAGTTGGTAAATATTTGCTAGAAATATGCAAAATTCTAGGTGAAATTTCGTTTGAAACGTTAAAAATTGGTATGGGCGTTGTTTGTTGGTCACTCGCTCCATGGCTCAGTTGGTCGACCGGCACTTGTTTGGTACGCCTGCCGCCCTTTTATGTGGCAACCATCAACCACAGACAGACTTAGTGTAAATATTATTCTTCATACACACACCCGCCATAGGCACTTAAGTAACTGAAAAATGTGCAGAGAAAAAATATAGCCAACAGCGCCAGCTTAAATTTGTAGGTGGCTTTAGTCAGCTCATCGGGGGTGTTGTGGATGGTATGCCTTACCTAACTGGGTTGTGGGTCGTCATTGCAACACGCAATGTTGCACTGTGGGTCATAGCAGTTAAAGATCAGTTCAAATACTATTTTTAAAGAGAATACAAATTTAAAAGCTCTGTACATTCTTCAACGAGGTAAAATTTAAAATTTAGGGTGAACGAATTATTGGAAAAGCCAGAATTTTTGTATAGTTATGTGATGCATTTCCATAAAGCCATATTAGCTCAAAAAACATTACGATTATTTAAAAAAATCAACACGTGGTCAAATCGGAATTTTAATGCTCAACCCCCAGGATTTATTTTTATTTTGAAAAGGATTTGGAGGTCGCTCAAAGCGCTCACGTTTTCCATGTATTTTATATGAAAAAAAAAAACCTAGAAATGGTATAGAATTCTTAAAAATCGATATTTTTCGATCGGAAAACTCAGTTTCTCTTCAGGAGACTTCCAATAATAGTACTCAATTGTTCATTTAACCATGTTTTAATATCAACTAGTTTTTATAGTAAAAAAAATAGTCGGACTTTACTGCCCCTCTCCCCCACAAGTGTTTGGACCACCCTAATGTAGCACCCTAATTTTTTTAATGATTTTATTTAGTTTATTTTTATGCAAGTATGCATGTAAATATGTAAATATGTTTATTTGTGTGTATGTAAATTTCGGTAAATAGCATACTTCTTGCATATATTTCTAAGTTCACATAGTATGTATGTATTTTTTTTTATGGTGAAATACATGTTTCGTACTTCAGAGTTTGCTCACCTCAAAAACTTATACATATGTATACCCATATACCTACAGTGACCCTAACAAGTGACCACAGGTTGATTTTTTTAAATATTCATAATGTTTTTCAAGTTAATTTTTTTTTATATTTTTCTACAAAAATATTGTCCAAGCTTTAACCAAAACCAATAAAGCTATGAGGTTGTTCACACTTGCCTGGTTATCAGGTTATCTGGTTAAAAATTATTATTGTGTACTTTATTTTATTGTTGTAAACTGAATAAAAAACATAACCACATAACCACATAACCTGATAACAAGGCAAGCGTGAACAAACTTAATGTTTCAAACTTCATGCAAAATTTAGGAAAATTCAATAAAATTTCAAACTTTTTATTCTGAGTCTTGAGAATATATTTGCGTATGCGGCTTTAGAGTCCACACGATTTTAGTAAAATAAAATGCAAGATTCAACCGGCTAAAAAATCGCGTTGATTTTTAATTATTAGGTTTTTTTACGGATTTATATAGTTTTGGTTAAAGCTTGGACAATATTTTTATAGAAAAATAACAAAAAAAAATTTGACTTGAAAAACATTGTAAATATATTTAAAAGTGGTCACTTTTTTGAGTCAGTGTATATAGTATTTATTTATATGTACATTCATACATACATATGTGTATGTGGATTATTTTAAGTGTGTGTCTGTCCGTTGGTCACAAAAACTATCTAAATAAACATGAAATGTGTTACATTTGCAATTTTCTACTATTTTCACCCGACTCAGCGGTACTGCGCCACATGTGTACTCTCCGGCTCTCTGCTTTCCCACCAAATGTAATACATTAAATATTAAAGTTGTGGGCTGTCATTTGTTTTTCCTCTTCAGTTTTTTTTTTGTACATTTTCCCGACATGTTTACGACAAACAAAGCATTCTAGGGCCTTCTGTGTGTACTGTGGTGGTTGTTGTTTTATTACAGACACATTTCATGTATTTAGAACTTAATTTAGTTTACCAAAAAACTTTTCGTGGGTGTTGGGAAAAACGGAACCGAGGGAAGTGAAAGCGATGAGTTGTGATTGGCGTGGATTTGAGTTTATCAGAGAGAAAGTGCGGAAAATGAAAACAAGTTGGCTTAAAGCGATGATAGCTATGTATCGAATTTATGTCCTTGCCTTTTATTTTAGCTCGACCTTTTAAATATATTAAGAAATATGTATTAGAGGGTGTGTATATAAAAGTCATTGACTTATTGTCCAAAAGAGCAGAACAATATAACAACAATTTGAAAAGTGATTTTTTTTTTTGAATTATTGGATTTATGTCATAGGATGTTTTGGATTTATTTTTATTAATTTTTTGTGCTGTTTTTATTCATTTGACGATTTTAAACTCAAACGTCTATACATTCAATGAAATTACTAACTTTATCTTATTCTCTCTTTACAGCGGTGGGCGTATGTGGGGCATGTCCCACTCACTGCCATCTGGAATGGTACGTATACTTTTCAAATTAAATTTGTAGCCGAATTTTTTGTAGTATTTTTTATGTTTTTGTATTTTAGTTTCTAGCGATAGTACTTAAGTATAATTTAATAGTCTCTACCTGAAACTGTTATTTTTTTTTGTTTAGTTGTGAAATAACTAACTTTTATCTCTACGTTAGCTTACTTAAAATAACTAATAAACATAAAAGTATTAAATAAGTAAAAGAGACTTAAAATATTTCGGGGCACACGCTTTTTCATATAAAGTCTTCTACAAGTTTAAATAAAGAAAACCCCAATTTGCAAGAAACAATAAAACACGCATACAACAAAAAAATACATTTGACAAAATGAAATGGAAGAACAGAATAATTACTAAACAACAAGAAACAAAAACAAAAACAAAAACAAGCCAGGCGTTGGCATACTCATGCAACAATAAATACCCACAACAACAACAATACAATTAGCAAACAATAATCACATTAGCAACAAGAACAATAACAACCACAAACAAATTGCAACAGTGATTCTGAACAATCATGCAATCACCACCAACAACAACAACAACGTCAACAACAAACAAAAATAAACAAAAAGACAAAGTGAAACAATTAAAACAAGAGGAAAACTGTAAAAGTAGGCACACTTGCCTACTTTCATACACATGAAAAAGTTGATTCACATTTAAGCTTAGTATCCAGCTTTCACGAAAAACCAAATTTTCATATAAAAAATCACAAGAAATAAAAAAGAAATTTTCTTCTATCAAATTTTGTTAAATTAGGGCCAAAATCACGGCATCCATGATCAAAGGATATTACTCATTTCAAAGCGAATGAAATAAAATTACACTTGTTTCCTCTCCAATACAATTTATATTACAAAACCAGACTTCAAAGAAAAGTACGCAGCTTTCAAGAGACTTCTTACACTTTGTAATAAGTTTTTTTTAAGTTATTATTTAAAGAATGAAAGTCTGTACTTATTGAGACTTTTCTTGGGTGCTGGATACATGCTCTTTTACAATGGAGTTACACAATTGAATAATTATATATATAGTTCACTTCTTTGTATTTTTGTTATTTCGAAA